ATGAACACGTCTGACCTCAGGGTGCTTGTTATAATGACAATAATTTTGAAGTCACTGCAGCTGTTGTCTTGATGGTTTTTTGCCAAGATGCAATGACCCTTTTTTAATTATGACAATAAAATAAAAGGGAGAAGCCTTACTATTTTAGCCCTTCCAGTAGTGATCTACATTAGGCTTTCAGGGTGCTCACAGTTTTGTTTAATAATCACTTGTTCTCTTTCATGGCCAGTGAGAAGTTAGTCAGATCCACTTTTGTGCCTGGTGAAATCAATAGGAATAAGGTGCATAGGCAAGTTAGCTGAGCTATTAATGTATCTTACACAACAAATGAGTGTCCATGGCTTTCAAATGTTCCCTTTCCTCTAACAGTCTCATCCCGCTTTTTTGTACTGTGCAGTAACGTCACAGTAACTCAAGAAGGTGTAAACAGGCTTACCCTGTTTGCTGGGGTGAGCAGAGACCCTGATGTGCCTGTGGTTGAGGGGTGTCCTGGGAGCAGCAGAGGTCACTGTGAACGTGGGTGCAGACAGCTGCAGCTCCTCTGCTGCCCTGGTGTGATTAATTTCCTAAGTCAGATAATTTGTGTATGTTTGATGTTTTAGCAGTGCATACCAGACTCAAACTTGTTTGTCTTTTTTATCAAATAGGACACTGAAAGTGTCTTGCTGAAAGTTATATAAGAAATCTGTAGCAGAGCAAGGTTTCAAAGGCCAATAGATGAACCTTGAAAACTCAGCAGTCACTAACTGAGGACTGAATTCTTGTCCATCAAAATTGGTGCTGTCCAAGGTAATAGTGAATTGTGTTTATGTTTGGACAGCCAGTTGTAATTCTAAAGGGAATTGGTCCTGAATTCTGATTAAAATTATGTGATATAACATTATAAAGAACATTTCTAGGGGTAGGAAAGATATTACTAGATTAGCTGGTAGAAAAGGTAGGTGAATCTTCTGTCTACTCAGTGCTGGTGACACCAGACCTGGGGTACTGTGTTCAGTTCTGGGCTGTGAGTACAGAGGCATGGACAAGAGAGCCCAGGGAAGTGGCACGAAGGTGATTGGGGCTGGTGCCTCTCTCCCATGAGGAGGGGTGGGGAGCTGGGACTCCTTAGCCTGGGGATGGAAGGCTTAGGGGGAACCTTAGCAATGTGTATAACTTCCTGAAGGGAGGGATGCAAAGAGACCTGAGCCAGGCTAACTTCTGTGACACTAACCCTTATGTGACAAATTTATGCATCTTCTATCTAATTCCTCTTCTTTTCTGGTTAGCACTGAAGTAAAATAATCCTTTTCATGAGGAAGTAATTTCATCTGAAGTGAGTAATTTTGTTTTTCCTTCTGTATTGGGTCAATCTTTTCAAGTGCCAGGTCTCTAAGTAAAAGTGTTTCCCTAATGAAACAACCAATCTTGGTGAGCTAGGATTGGCCTTCCAGGCAGCATGGAAGAAACTCTCCCTTTTTAGGCCTGGAATGTAAGCAGTTATGGAATTTCAGTGTCTGGAATGCTTAAGATTTACAAGCTAGCTTTCCTCAGACAGGTATTGTGAAGTTATTTACAGAGACTTAACACTTGGTAGTTTTAATACTATATTAAGCCCCCAACCCCCAAATATTTAAAATTAAATTTTGCTGGTTTATGAATTTCAGTGTTAAAAAGCTTTTTGAGAAAATTTCCTGGGGCAATATTTATAAAGTTAGTATAAGTGTCATGTTAAAAACCTTGTGCAACTGTTTGAATATTTTTCCCATCTAGTTTCTGCTTTGAGTACAGTCCTAATCTTCAAAATTATCAGCACAGAGAATTTAGCATCTTTTTCTGCTAGTAAATTCCCCTTCCCTGCTGTATTAAGTAAATGTGTGATTTAAATAACTGTAACCATTTAAAACTCATCCAGTGAAATAAACAGTTGTACTTACTTTTTTGTTGTTGTTGTTGTTGTTGTTGTTGTTATTAAATGTTTAAAAAAATATTTCTAAGTGTGGGTCTCACCTCTGATGATGACTTTTCCTAATTTGTGGAAAATCATTTAACCTGTCACTTCCTTTTTCTACATGTTAAATGTTATAAAATCATTATGGTATTTGAAAAATTAGTAGCGAGGAGATAGATTTCATAGGTTTATGAAATATTTCGACTGCTCAGATACTGGTCACTGAGTGCAATGAAATACTGATGTTTTTATTACTTTATTGATTTAACGTCAACTTACATCTTGCTTCAGCTTATTAAAAGAGAATATACATATTTTCTTCAAAAAGTAATTTAAAACACAGACAAGTGTATTTTAATAGTCAATTGATCAACCATTTAGTAATGTGATTATTACAGATGCTATGCAGAGCCATGTTTTAAGGTACCTGCAACAGAACTAAAAGTGAGACTGTATTGTACCATATAATATATTTTAAAGGTCATGGATATTGTCCAATTGTCATTTTTATTGTGTATGAAATGTATTTACACCATTTTGCATACCTTTAAAGAGTCACAAGTTATGAGACAAATATGTAAGTATCTCCCTAACAAGGAGATGTGTTTTGTGTAGTTTTTTGAAGGGATTGTTTCAAGAAAAATAACTTCCCTATGGAATCCTAGACTCATTAAAATAGGAAGAGTAGTACTGCAGGTCTCTTGTCCTATCTCCTGCTCAAATTAGGGCCCACACTGCTTGTACTGGGCTTTGTATTTTAAAACCCGCCAAGAATGGACATTCTGCAGCCTTCTCTGAGATTCCTCAGATGAGATTTGCTCATTTGTGTCCCAGAGCATTTATCAGCAGTAATACAGGAGTAAATAAGCAAACCCTTTCTAATTGCAGCTGCTGAGCAATGGAGCAGTTTCTGTGAGATGGGAGTGGCTGCTGTGGGTGCTGCTTTGAGCACAGGAGCTGTGTTTCCCTTCTGAGCCCCAGCCTGGACACACTGTGTAGTGTCAGTGGGAAAAAAGAAAAAGCTCCAGCAAAGCCAATGCCTGTGGAGGAAAGGCAAAGAAATTGCACTTGAGCTTGGCTTTTATAACCCTTTTTGTTTGGGTTTTCTTGAACTTCTAGTATTATACAGGCTAGTAGTGAGCCATTCCCAGACATGTGTATCAGTTTCTTTATGTATAAACATATTTCCCTCCAACATGGTATATTGTCTGTTAAAATTGCATTGGATTATGATGTAATTGATCTAAGAGGCTTTTGTGAAGATTTCAGACATCTTTCTGAATTGCTGTTAAAATCTAATAGATTCTTATTATCCTTGTCTTTTCATAGTTTGCTACTATGGAGATCATCACTGTAAATTTTCTGATTATTATTCTCTGGTTTTAGCACTAAACGGATTTTTTTTTGAGTCAGTATTTGAGAATAGATTTTCTAAGATAAAGATACATTGACAATTGCTCAGTTGTAAGGATATGTGAGTGGGGTACTGATGAATTGCAGCATTTGCAGTCAGGTGTCTTTTTGGAACTATTTCCTCACAGAACACATTTCAGTTGTGTACAGCTGTAAAACATGAAGCAGCCTTGGCTTACCTGAAAATGGTGGTAACATCGTGATTCATTATGTAAAACATTTAGCAGTGAGGGCTAATTACAATTTGGATTCAGGATTTGTTTGACTGTATTTCTATGTTCTTGAATTACATAATCACAAGATTGTTTAAAAGAGCCTGTCTGCACCTGGTTTTATGGTTTTTTACATATATATTTATATATTAATGTGCATACATACATTTAAATTAAAACTTCAGTAAAGCTTTTAAGCACAAACCATCCTAATGGGGTTCTGTTATTTTAATTTTTATTTCAAAGCTTCTGCTAACCTAGTTTAGATATAGAAACTTCTGCTAGTGTGTTAATGTTGATCATAAGTGTGAGCTTTGTTTCACTGTTTAAATATTCACAGAAAGTAGTGCAGGGCGGTACCAGCACAAAAGCTTCCTTTATAGTACAGTCTGTTGTGTTCAGTGAACAAGTAATAAATAAAGTAGCAAAAGCACAGTGAAGGTTTACTGATAGAGCTGTACTGACACTTTTTTTTGCATGGATCTGTTTATATTTTCTTTCATTTTTGACTTGCAAATATCACAATTGATTTTCAAATGGCACTATTTGTTAAACAACATTTTTTTTAAAAAAACTAAATATTTGTCAAAGGAAATTGTTGCCATTTTCTGTGAATGCTTTTAAAATGAAAGTGTTTCATGTAGGGAGAAATGGTTGACGCTAGATACTTGTAATTCAATGCATAACATGGAAACATTTACGACCATTTTTGACTAACTTGACCCCGTCCCAGTCAGGTCAGCTGCTTTAGCTAGTTTTTGGTGATCTTTATCTAAGTGCAATTATCACAAACCCAAGAAAAATTTAGGGAAACTGAATTAAATGATATAAGGCATAAGTCAAGTAGGGCTTAGTTGAGCACTTTCATAGCTAGAAAATTAAGATGTCTTTTCTTCATCAGGTCACAGTGATTTTAGCTGTAGTTTCAAACTAGTCAGTCACGCAGGCTTGCACGTATTTCTGTATCTGTGGCTGGAGGTTCTACCATCTTAGGATTATTTACAGTGCCTGCTGGAACTGTAACCTTCTTTTACCTGGCATAACTCTGAGCATGCCAGTAATTCAATTATCAAGAGTATGTGGCATAGATTTTTAAAATTTTTGCATTGTTTCTTTTGAGATGTCCGTTGTGTGATTTGCTGCAGGCTGTCATTTTTGTCTGCCATCCAATGTATGTTGGCAGGAGGGTTGTGTACTAGGCTTTGTGTCTGGTCACAGAAAAAAATTCATGCATCTCAGCCAGACCATTTTGTTATTCCTTTAGAATTAAAGGCATATGAAACAGATGCAGCTTAATAAGTATCTTTTTTTTATAAATAACATTTAAATAACTTAAAACAATAAAGTTCAAATACAACTTAAAATAAAGTTTAATGCTGTAACAACAGAAAAAGCATGTATAAGAATGGAAAAACAATATTGAAAGCTGTATGCCCTAACAGGAATTATACAAAAGATAGGATATGTTACATAAAAAACCTTAATATGTCTGAATTTTTGCTTCATTGTTATATAAAATGTTAATTTGTGAAAAGTGAGATGAAGTACATTATTTATTCCTATTTTTATTTTACATACACTATTTGAAACATCTTTTAGAGCAGCATTAGGTATTTGTTTCATTAATAGATAGGAACATTTTGTGTTAGAGTAAACTTAATTTGTCCAAACTAACTCTCTTATCTGAATACAACAATAAACATTTACAAGATTATATTTTTTTTGATCATATAGTTTATGTATAGGATATGAGTTTCTTGGGGAAGTATTTAAAATACTGCTCAGCCTCCACATTTTCTATTGACTTGATAATCTGACAACTCATTCCAGCAGCCTTAAAGTCTGACATATTTTACACAACATTATCATCTGCTTATTATTATTATAGCAGCCATATTTAAGAAGCAGATAGTTTTTTTAAATAAAATATTATCAGATAATCAAGTAATGACTTATTCTTCAGGGTAAATTAATTTAAGAAACTACCCAGTTACAATGACTAAGATAATGATTGTACAGCTCTTTAGAATTTTTTACAACTTTTAGTTAGTAAATCTGATTTTGTGTATATTTTCAAATCTTTTTCGTGTAGTCTTTTAAAAATAAACATAAATGCGCAAGTCCAGCTTGTTCAGTTTCTCAGTAGTATTCCAGCCTCTCTTGGTATCTTGTCAAACAGTCTTCTTAAAATTAATCTTCCTGCTGGAACTAGTTCTTTATAGATCATTTGTGATTAGGATATTGCCAGAGGAAGAAAGTGGGATGCTCTGTGTTCTTTCTTTGTTTTTTTACCTTTCATTGGAACCCCTTTGTGGTTTAGTGTAACAAACATCTCTTTTCCTTTGTGTGTCCATTTTGCAGAAGCATACGTGTTATAATGGTTTTCTTCAATCAGTTCAATGAAGTTGCAGTCCTCGTTGCAGACTTTCTGTTGAGAGTAGATAATAAAATATGGTAAGGCAAGTACAAGTGTCTTTTTAAATACTTAGATTAGGGAGGATGGGTGAAGAGTAGGCATTATAGAGCCTGCATATAAGGAATATTTTAATAAATAAATTTGGCCTCTGAAATCTGAGTATTGAATATTCTAGCTTTCTATATTCCCCCTTAGTATTCCAAATTTTGAAGATGTATGTAAGACCTAATCATTGAATTTATTAAATAGACATAAAAGCCTAATATGGGATGCATGGGATAAGTGCAGAATACATTTTACTTAGTTAGGAATCTGCTTTATAGAAAACCATTCAAATGCTACATCTCAAAATACCTCTGAGATTGTAGGGATGTACACATAAGAGAAGTTTGCATCCATACCTTTCCATAGAGTCGCCCTGACTTGTTCATTGCCAGAAAGTATTCACTTTCCACTCCTTTGATGGCCACTATTCCAACTGCCACCGTTCGGATTTCTAGAATACCTGCAAAGGCACACAGCAAGGGCTGTAAAATGGTCGGTTGTTCTCCAGTTAATTCAGAAGGTTTCCTTGAACTAACATCCTGTAGTATTTCCATGTTTATTGAATTTATTCTTGGAAAACAGAAAAATTATGTGTATTCATGTGAAGAAAGGGATAAACTGTAAGAATTACCTCTGTGATCTTGTCTGCATAGAGCCACTTTAAAATTGTATGGTGGTCATTTTTAAGTATATACTGAAGTTGTGATGTATAAGTAATTGCTCTATTTTCAGAAAATCAGTGTAGCTTAGAATTTATCAGGATCAGGGTTTCATTTGGAATATGTAGTTAGCCATCAAGGTTCACAGAATTTGTGTAAAGCCTTTATTTTGAAGTCTTGTGTAGCAGTATCATCCCCTTGAAAGAGTGTAAACCTTAGAACTTGCGAGTGATAGAAAACAGACCACAGTGTCTTAAATAAGATAAAGTATTTGCTTGACCTTTGTGTGCTTTTATGGCTGACCGGAGCTGTAAAGATACGTGTATTTGAAAATCATTAAAGGCTGCCCTGAGAGCTTATTTATTCAAAACCAGAAAACATTTAGTGTTGTTTTCTATAACCTGATTTATTTTCATCTCACTGATACATATCAGCAATACTCTTCTGTAGTCACTATGATACGTTTAAGTTACCTGCAACATAAAAAATATTCTTTTGTTAATATAAAAAAAAAAAGTGAAGGCAGGGGGATTATGCAAGTTATTAAAGAACACCAGGTTGTTTTCAAGCTTAAATATTATTAATGTTTTCTTAAGCAATAGTTTCAAGTTATGTATCTGAGTTTGAGCTATTTCTTTCAATATTGAGTCACTGGCAGAACTCTGCCATAGCAACTGCACTGTGACTCCTTCTCCAAAATGGGGTCTTTCAAAGGCAGCCAACTTGAGGCAAATTGCAAGAGCTAGCTAAGCATGGGGGAGACAAGTGAGGGAGCTGGGAGAGAGGCATGTGTTAGATTATCACCTGAATTTCCTCTTTAACGAAACATTTCCTTTTTTTTCCTTTCAAGTTGGCATTGACTTTTCACAGCCACACAGTAATGGTTTTTCGTTAGTTAGGTTTTTAAGAAAGGTGTTAAGTAACTATGATATTTCTCCTTCCCTATACATTTTTATCTCCTCTTGTCCTTTGCTTTCCTTCGTGTTGTTTTACTTTTCTCCTTGATATTACTGGTGTGTCAGTATGGGTATATTTTTCGTCCTTTTTTCTTTTGCAGATCAATTCCCTCTTCCAGTGACGTCTGCACTGCTGGGCATTCAGCTCAGAGTGTTTATACTTCTGTACTCCCCTATAATGCTAAGCCAGCTTTTTTTTTAAGTAAAGCTTTTAGAATTCTTTGACAAGTTCCACTCTTCTGTAGGCCTAGCAATAGTTGTAACAAAGGGTAATTTGTAACCGAAACTTACAAAAATTATATTAACTATCATTTAAATTTCACTTTAGAAAAACCACAGTGAGGCTAAAAAACAGATGAACATCTGCATTTAGCCTAACAAAGAACACAACAGTGGAAGGGATCTCTGGGTCATCAAGTCCAGTGCTCTGCTAGACTGGGAATTGCATCAGATAATTCTCTTTTCATAAACTTTGCCAATACTAAATTGGAGTTGTTATTTCTTTGCCCCCAGTGTTTCTGCCGAAGGCTGTTCCAGAGTTTGATTTATTTTAATGGCTAGAGACTTTGTAGTAATTTGCAATCTGCATTTCTTCAGTGACAGCTTATATCCATTTGTTCTTTTGCCTCTGCTGGCCATTAACTTAAGGGGAGCTTTTAAAAAAGTCTATGTTTGAGTTTTCTATTTATACAGAATTTTTAAAAAGGAAAGATTTAAAATTACTTTTTAAAACAAATCATGCTAATAGGAATTGAGATTTCCTTGAGTAAGCTGATGTTGGCTGAAGTTACAGTAGTAAGAAATCTTACTGCTTTAAAAAAGGAAATGCCAAAAGGTTTTGTCCAAAGCAATATTATTATTGTTACAATTTTTACATTAATTTTTTAGGTTTTTCTTTTTGCCTGAAGTAGATTGTGACTAACTTGTTGGAATTCCTTTTTTTTTGGTTTGGGGTACTTGTTCTTCTACTTTATTCACAGTTGAGACATCAGTGTCTTTCCTTGTCTTAAACGAAAAGTTCTATTCTTATGTGCTTCCTTTTGAAGTAAAGGTGTTTAATCCTTTCAATATCTATTCATGAAAAGAAATAAGTCATCAAGCTAGGATGGGAAAGAGAAAATTCTTATACATAGATTGTTTCATTGAAATACTCTTTTCATACTCTAGCAACCAAAATTCCTCTAAAGGCTTGCTTAAATTAATAAGATGTTGATGAGGAGAAATTCAGAAGGCCAAGCTTCAACAAGGTCTTAAATATCCCTGATTTCAAAATTAAAATGTAAACTGTGTTCTTCAGTTGCTTTATCTAAAGCATCCCCAGAGAAGTTTGGAAGAGGTTTAAGAGAAGACTTAGTACACTACATAGTAACTGGGAAAGAAATCAGATTAAAGCCAGGAAAAGTAAAAAAAAAAACAACCTAGAGATGGGCATCCAAAATTGAAAACAACTGTACTTCCTATAAAATCAGCGTGAAATTCCAAACAATTTTATATGGTTGTATGGTCAGTGTATCAAATGTAGCTTAAAATTCCTGCAGTGAATGAAGTTTCCTACAGAGCTGAAATTACTCTGGTGCATGTAAAAGACTCTCAGCAGAGATGGGCTGTAGTTTGGAAAAGATGCCTATGGATGGTGGCAGCTGTTTTTGGAACCACTTGGTACAAATGAAATAACACACAGTTGATACCCAGTAGAAAAAAAAAAAGAAAATAAACAAAACAAGCCTTTAGGCTGACACAACAGTGTCAGTGGGTGAAATGTGTATCAGGTTTTTGTCATTAATGAGCTGAGTTTCCTGACATTTTGGTCTAGAATGACAGTTCCTCAATACTTAGAAGCAGACACTTTTATGTGTAGACTTTTTCCATAACTGTAGCCTGAATGGCAGGGCAATACCTCAGAAATTTATGGTGAAAAATGGCATTCAGTTATATGATTGCTATAAAATTGAGCATTGTCACATTGTCACATTCTTTCCTGGCAAGTAGTATTTGATAATTTTGTTTTTATTTCCTGATATTAAGTGTGTTTTCTGATTCAATTAATATTTTCAAATCAGCATTTTCATCTTCCTTTTATTTGTTAGACTCCTTTTTGCTTTTACAACACACAGACATTGTATTTGTTAAAACAAATCTTTGCTTTTATTGCTACACAATCTGTTTTTAGACTAGATTGAAGTAATTTCCATCAGTATGCAGACACAGTTGAAGAGGCAGTTTCTTTGTGTTTGCCCATAATACCCTTGATAAAAGTATCTTATCTATAACAAAGTAGCAAGAGCCTTGTGATTTAGCAAGATCAGGGCATTTCTCTTTACTCATTTGTCAGCTAAGAGGCTGAAAGAGCAATTGCAGCTCTGGCTCCTGAGAGCTGTAAGGAATCCAGTAAGTGCTGCTGATGCCTGAAGATCCCACGGGCAGGTATAACCTCTCAGGGGGCTTTTGGAAGAGGAGGGACCGCAGAACCACAGAGGGAGATCTCTTTTCATGTTCTAGGGAACTGCCCCAGTATGCCAGGATTGTTCAGGAAGATTCTGGGAAGCACACATTGAGGTCAGTCCCCTGTCAGCTGTTTCCAGACATTTCATATGTTGCAGGTATCCCCTCAATGTCTATCATGTAAGGTTTCTGCTCACTGCTCCTCAGTTTGCCAGAGTCACAGTGTCTGTAGACATTCATTCAAAGAGATGTTTTGGCATCCATTATATTTTCCAGAAAGGTGACAGCAATTTCATCCCAGTACTTTTCTGTTCTGCCGGGTATGTGTGTTGTGGGAGCACATATGATACATACAGCACTTTATTTCTTGTGGCTCTCTGCAGTGAAGTTGAAAAAAAGCAGTCTGTTGATGATTTTTAGGGGTAGGGAGGCTGGCACTGACAGTTTAGCACTTGTGAGGAATGTGCTTGTGAAACACTCTTTCCTCAGCAGAATTGTCTTTAAAAATAAAGTATGTGAAATCTTAAATAGGGACAGAGGGGCAGAAAAGACTTGGATGGAAAATGAGTCAAAACAAAATGTGACTTCTAAATTTCACTAACTTGTGTTTCTCATTAATTGAATTTGGAGTACATATTTATGAATTCAAATGACCTTTGCAAATGATTCAAGGCCAAGAAAACTTATCTCGTCTTTGCTTAGAAGACACTGTTTAATGATAATAATTTAATTTATTCTTTTGTTCTGGCACTTAATAAGTTAATGTTTGTGCCTCTTAAAGCCAGAAAATATGGTTTGTGATGGTCAGTCTTGGAAAACTTTCATGCTGTTATTGGTACATATGTGCATTTGGTAAGCCAGCACAGTATATAGCTGGTGTATTACAATTAAATGTTTTTCCAGAAGAATCTTGTCAGTGAAATGATTATTTTTATTGGATAATTTTGAAAGTAATTTGTTTCAGGAAATATTTATCTGCTTTTTTTAAAAATATATTTTATATATTATATACTTTACAATATTTTTAATTATTTTGAGTCTTAATATTTTAAAATAGATGCATCATGAAGTTCATTTTTAGGTAAAAATATTTGTGTGCTCTTTCTCTCTCAAATATAAAAACTAACAGTAAAAAAATTACTGCAAATAAAGGTCTTGATTTAAGGTATTTTGTAATATGACTTAATTTTTACCCTTCCCTATTATTAAATTAAAATTGATAGAAAGGAGAATTTGCATTTATATGGAGTACTTTCTTAGCAAGAGAATAAAGGAGTTTCTTAGATGGTACCTCACAGAACTCCTGTTCATAAGCTTTTTAAGTAGAAATAAATGTACAGGTATATGTTAAAATATGTTACAATATGTTACAAAGCAGGAGATTTCTCCACACCAGGAATTTT